TGTTTGCCTTTGGTGGTGGGTCCAGCAATCACGCTGCTGCAGGGCAAAAAAAGGAAAACACAGCAGGAACAATGCATTAATAAATTAGGTTAAGTATAGCACGACTCTGCTCAGTCTAGTTGGAAGACTTCATGCTGGCATCACTAGGGAGAGAAACCCCAGCAGGAACGTGTGTGTGGCCGACACGTCTGACTGGAGGATTGGCCGGGGAGCTAAGTCAATTTGGTGGATTTTGTTGCTTTGGTTTGCAGCGCTCGTTTGAGTTAAAACTGGTTCACCGAGCCACTTCGCCACGCGGCTGTCCAGCCACTTGCGCAGTTCCGAGGAGGGAGAATCAGGAGGATCATGAGACTGCTGCTCTGTGAGATACAGTTGGCTTTGGGCACTGTGGAACTGTTTGACAGGAGTAGTGTTGTGCTTGTAGGCCTGGCCTGTGCCTTCCTTGTGTGGTGCTGAGAGGTTTATTTAAACCTCAGCTCTTACAGACAGCTCTTACATATGTGGGGTTTTGGTTTTAGTCTTTATCCTGGGAGTGCAGATTGAAACCAGACAAATTTGCTGGGCATTCTTAATCCCCACCAAGTAGGCAGTGTGGGAGCACAGCTTAGGTCATGGAGTGTTTGTGCTTTCTGATGGCTAGAATACCATCAGTGTGTGTTTTGGAAAAGTCTGACCAGCCTCTACTCCAAAAGCATAAAACAGTCTCTAAGACTGTAAACAAACTCCTCAAGTGTAATGCTGCAGGGAAGAGCAAAAGTGATCAAGGCTTTGGTAGTACTGCAAGTCCTTGCACTGGCAGGATATCTGTTAAACGTCCAGCAGATCCTGAGAAGCATATGCCTGAGAGTATGGAAAAGGGTAAAAAGGAACAACAGAAGTCCCCAGTGATCTTCTTGGAGCATAATCCCAGCCAATCCTATGAGGTTTTGCCTAGCATCCTGGTTCTGATGGCAACCTCATCTGAGTAAGTGGGGTATACCTGCAAACCCTGCTTCTGTCGGATCTCTGGTTGCCACCAGTCTTCTTTCTCCTCTTCAGTTGCTTCTCCTGAACTGCAGACTTAACGGTGAAACTGTGTATCCAGGGATAGGGGGAAATTCACGCAGGAACTATGGTTTGTGTGAGGTAAAAGCATCTTGGCTGGAGAATGACAATTTCTTAGTCAGAGATGGTGCTGCTGAAGTTTCCTGAAGTAATTTATATGTCCTTTTTTTAAATATAGTATTATCTTTCTTCTAAAATGTAGTATTTATTTTAACTGGAAGTAGGGGATTCTTCCTACTTTCTTGGGGGTAGCAAATCAGCTAATGCCCTTTTGCCATGCTTACTTAGCATGTACCTTTTGGTCAAAGATACCTGCATTTTACTGAAAATAAACAAACCGCCCCAGCGCAGATTACTTTTTGATATCCTTTCAAAGTTACAATACTTGCCCTTTTAAACCGTTTTTTGAACTTAGAAATATCTCACATGTGAATCGCCATTCATTAGAGATGATGTGCATAAAATATTAAATGTGGATGATGTACAATATGTTTCAAAATAACTCAGGAACGATAACCTCAAATAAATATTTATTATTTGTGTCATGCTTTTGCAGCAGCAGTATCAAAGCGCCCTGTTTTGGGCAGACAAAGTAGCTTCATTGTCTCATGGTAAGTAGTTGCTTTTTACATTGTTTTTCACTTCTTTCTGTTTTGGTTTTGTCAGGTTTTTTAAAAGCCGTGTCGCTAAATGTTGAAGCGTTGAGTTTGGTGTCAGTGCTTTCCTGTGATCTTGGAATGACATTTTTTCCAAGTAGAGCAGGGCCAATTTTCCTTCCCTTTTGAACTTTGTGTTAAGATTTAATGTTTGTCCCAACCTTGCGGTTTGCCTACCTTAGAGACAAAAAATAAATTGTTACGAGGGGCAACGGTGGTTTTCTACAGGGTTTTCTACAGGGTTTGGTGTTGCTCTGGGTGACGAGTAGAATGCTGGTTTACAGAGCGAGTTGATGCTGGTAGCCTCTGTCTGCCTACAGCCATGGTCTGTTTTAACTTCTTAAAATGATTCTAGGAGTTGGATTCCGCAAAAGCTTTCGTCGCCAGTGAAGCAGGAGAGTACTAAGCTGTGCTTCTGCAATCGTAACTTCAAGCTGCAGCAGCCTAATGCTTTCACTTTCGCTGTTGTTAGGTTCCCACTGATCTTTTTTGAGAAAAAAACAACCCACGATTGTCTTTCTGCCCTGTGTGTAAGGGCAGGGTAACTTACAGCTGCTGCTTCTTTTAGATCTCTGTCACTGTGGTCTCCTTCTAATGACACACCTCTAGTATGAGATTCTTTGTATTCGCTGTCCAGTGCACTATCCGATGTCTTGAAAGTTAAAAGCGGATTACTTTTTCATTTAATCTCTCACTGATATGCATATAAAGAACTTGTAATATCTCTCTAAGTACATACATAAAAAAATAAAACTTTGTAACTCAATAGGGTGCTAGAATAGGGGAAAGATACTTTTCTAGTGAAGCGAAAGGGAATATTCTTTCAAGTGTTCAAAGATGTGATGTAAATTAATGGTTTATAATTTGTTCTTTTATTTTAGAGGAACCACAAGATATCTACTGGTTGGCCCAATGTCTCTACCTAACAGCTCAGTATCACAGGGCAGCACATGCCCTTCGGTCACGTAAGTTGGATAAGGTAAGTCATTTTAGTCAAGGGCTCATGACTGTTACTCCACTTTCAAGCCTCTGCTGCGAACCGTGGTGACTTCTTCACCATCGGAGGATAAGGCATAAGGGAAAAGTAATTCAAAAAACCTGCATGGTGTAATTTATCTGAATCAAGTACAGCCTGTGTTCAGTTGGCCAGATCGAAGCTCTTGTCCCCAGACAGGGTCTCAGAAAAGAGAAGGGGTCCTGCTTACCTGTAACCGCTGCAGGAACGGGAAGGTGGAGTGTCCCTTCAGGTGCAGTTGTTCAAACTGTCCTCCTGCTTCGCTTGGAAGCGGTGAAGGCGAGAGTGAAGCAGGTGTCCTGTGGAAGTTTAATAGCAGAGAAAGTGTTACAGACTTAGTCATTTTGGTCAGGAAAGGTTTTTGGAGGTGAAAGGGGTGAAGAAGCCAGAGAACTAAAAAGGAGAGAGCAACATGGAGCCTAGCAGTGGAAGTAAACTTGTTTTCTCTTCATAACCAATATATATGAAACTTCTCTTTCAGTTGTATGAAGCATGTCGCTACCTTGCAGCTAGATGTCATGTGAGTATATGCTTTAACCTCTCCTGGAAACAAACCAAACTAAGTAAAAGATGTATCTTGGGAAGACTAGGTACCAGACAGGCAATGCAGATGTCAATGTCCATTGGAATAACAAGTTGACATTTTTTTGCCGGTTGATTTCTTTCTTTAACTTCCACTGTGGTCGCTGGAGTATCCATTGTGGTACCATTCTGAAGAAATCCAACTGATGTTTTTTTCCAGGACAGGAAATACTCCTCTAATATTTTGTGGGGAAAGAATGTGAAGCATTTTTGTCTCATGGCTTCACATTTGCATTTTTAATTGTTTGGTTGTAGTCTGACCAAAGGAGATGTGATTTACGGTTGTATAAATACAGCTAGCAGCTTCATACTTCTGTATAAAATACAATACATAAATAGTAAAATGTAGTGCTTTCACAGGACAACTGAAGTAGTTGGTGGGTTAAACATAGAAATTTGAAACAAAATTTGTGCTGTTTACAAAATAAGATGACTGTATTTTATTAAAACATGTATTAACTGTTTTTAGAAGCATATCTGCTTCTAAATGATGCTCAGAGGGCTGGAGCACCTCTGCTATGGGGACAGGCTGAGAGAGTTGGACTTGTTCAGCCTGGAGAAGAGAAGGCTCCGGGGAGACCTTATAGCACCTTCCAGTACCTGAAGGGGCTACAAGGAAGCTGGGGGGGACTTTTTACAAGGACCTGTAGTGACAGGGCAAGGGGTAACGGGTTTAAATTGATAGTGGGGAGATTTAGATTGGATATCAGGAAGAAGTTCTTCACAGAGAGGGTGGTGAGGCACTGGAACAGGTTTCCCAGAGAAGCTGTGGATGCCCCATCCCTGGAAGTGCTCAAGGCCAGGCTGGATGAGGCTTTGAGCAACCTGACCTAGTGGAAGGTGTCCCTGCCCATGGCAGGGGGGTTGGAACTGGATGGTCTTTAAGGTCCCCTCCAACCCAAATCATTCTGTGATTGCCTAATGCTGAATAATAGATTTTTCTGTAGACAGTAATTTTATAAGGTTTTACATGTTATAGATGATTAGTAAAATAGTTGACTGCAATTGTAAAATGCCACATGTCCAAATGACAATATGCACGCACGAAGAACCTGCTGATAAGCACTGATTGTTACAATCTGTGCCTTTGAAATGTGTTACTGGGTTTATTGGTGCTTTATGTACAGATGTTTCAAATCCCAACCTTGTTTTTTGCATTCACATGTTTGTCTAGTATGCTGCGAAAGAACATCAACAGGCCCTGGATATTCTTGATATGGAAGAGCCAATCAACAAAAGACTTTTTGAAAAGTACTTTAAGGATGAAAGTGGATTGAAAGACTCTACCACAGACTGGGAGATGTCACAATCCTCTGTAAGTGGCTTTTTTTTAAACAAGTATTTATATAACTGAGAAAAAAAATGTGTGAAGTGAGAAAGCGATTTTACAGCTGTATGAATCTGAAACTCTGTGTTGAAGCTTTCTTTTTTGGATAATACAATTTAAAAAAATGCTGAATTGTTCTCCTTTTGGTCAGAAGTCACATTAGCTTGCCTGTATGGAAATAACTTGGTTTGTGAAAATGAAGAGTGCTTTTCAACAGCTTCCCTGAAATTATTTGCAGACGCTTTGCAGGAAGTTAATGAACTTGCATTGGTTTTTAGAGTATTTTGCCTCTATGCTGCAATTTTGGTCTTGATAATGTGAACTTACACTTCTTTCAATTGGGCTGCAGGTTCTGAGATAAAAAAGCAGGTTTTCTTCTCCTCCAGATGTTTTTAATGAAATATTTGTTCTTAATCACTCAAGTGTTGTTGTTAGGGGGATGGTTTTTTGACACACTTGAAAATTATGTGATGTGAAGGTGAAGTTTTTGGGGCTCAGTGAAAGAATTCGGTGTAGGCACACAGTTAAAAGGGTTCGATACCACTTGTGGGCTGGAGAGTCTTAACTTCTGGAGTGATGAACTGAAGTCTATTACCTGAAACTGCAGTGAAGGTAGTTGACAGATGGCGTTTTCTCTCTAAGACCGAAGTAGCAAAATGGGTTAAATCATCAATGTGAACTGTTTTTGAATGCTGCTATTAATGGGCTTAAGGGAGAGGTGGATTAGACGGAGTTAGTGTGGTGTGCCTCAATGGGGACATTGAAGCTACCACTGCAAGCAGAGGGAAGTCTTCAGCGATGGCTCTTCATTCTTGCTCCCTGTTTCATGGTACTCAGGCCCCAGTGGTGGGGTGGCTGATCGCTGAACTAAATTGGGAAACTATTTGGAGTGAAAAATAACCCCGTCAAAAACCCCTGACTTCCATCAGTGCTCACTTTCACGAATGCTCGCGAAGATGTAGCTCGCTAGTGCGCGGATGCGTTTAGTTTGCCAAAGGAGAGAACTACTGAAGTGGGTACTGCTGCAAGAAATTTCACATCAAACTCCTCGCTTGGAATGTAGTTTTTTTTCGAACTTAGTTTGATTGGCTTGCACGGACACTAGTTCTGGAGTAGGAACGGTTGTTCTCGGAGCTGGTAACAGAATGCCCACTTTAGCAGTGCCCTGGGGTTTATTAGTTGTTAATGCAGCTGTGTTGTTCCTTGCTCGTGGACTCCCAAGAGAGCTGGTCTGACTTGGGTGTCTAGACACGTAATGTGTTAACTTGCTGACACCTGTGTGGCTGCCTGGCTGAACTCAACACCCATCCAGGGAGTTTTGAATGAACACATTAGTTATTAGGCATCTTAGCACAACTTTAGCTGTGGTAATACTGATCTTCCGCTACTTTGGTTTCTGAAGCGTCTGTGTGTTGGGTTGAAAAGAAGGGTATATTTTACTGCTCAAAATAAATTACTTCATTGATTTGGCCGCCTTCATGTCTACTGCGGTTGTTCTTGTCTTGCCTGAAATACGTGGTTTAGTAGTCAACAAAGAAGCGATGATTTCCCTATATTCATTATGAAGGGAATTCAGTATAAATAGCTTACAGCTCTGTATCAGGAAGCAGAAAAGAACTCTGTCCTCCCTCTGCTTACTTCAAGCAAGTGCTCGTTTGGTAGTAGGTAACCTGGCAGAGCGTCCGTTTGAGTTTTTTTAGGGTAGTAGAGACAATATTTTATTAACAGCCAGAGCTAGAAAACCAGGTTCCATCATACATGAAATGCTTTTTACTTTTTAGGGAGCCCATTTGATTTGTGCTCAAACCCAAATTGCAAACATTGATTCAGTCTTTGACCTTCAGCCCTGCTTTTCCACCAGATCAAGAGCTCTATATGCCTTTTGCGAGGGAAGATCTATGACGCTTTGGATAATAGAACCCTAGCAACGTACAGCTACAAAGAGGCCTTGAAGCTTGATGTTTACTGCTTTGAAGCATTTGATCTTTTAACATCGCACCATATGCTGACAGCCCAAGAAGGTCTGGATAGCGGTATTTCTCAATTACGAGTAAAATTTAGCTGCTTTCTCAGAATGCCTTTTTCCTGGATAAAAATTAAAGCAGAACTGCAAGCAACAGAGTTTCAAACATTAAGAATAGAAAAAACATGAAAGGATTGAAAATTGCAATCTGCTCAAATTTACATTTGAACCTTGTTTTTTCACTCTTGCAGTGCAAAGAATTAAAAGAAGCAAAGTAACCCAGCTGTCCTGTTAGATCCAGCAGCTCCCATGCCCTTTGCCCAGCATCAATGATGCTTTTCCTGTGTTTTGAACTTCACAGGCTTTGAATCCATGAAACCCTACCGGTGTTTGCTTAGTTATAGTAGGCGTTGCTTGATACAGCATTCTGAGTGACAGAATTTGACATGTGGAGTAAATAAAAGTAGTGGTGTGTTTTGTCATCCTTATTAAATTGTATTAAAAAGTGTAGAAGGAAGAACTAAGAATTCAATCATTAATTTCCATAATTAGTAGTATTATCTTTTTTAGTGTATCTGTACTGTTCCTTCTAGTTTCAGGATGAGCATCATAAAATTCTTTGCATCTCTAAGTTCTTAAAATGTTGGATCTTGCTATTTCTTGTAATATGACTGCTTTGTTTGGTTTTTTTTTTTTAATTCACATAGAAAAAGAACTTCTTGATTCTCTACATCTTGATAGACAGTGTACAGAAGAAGAACAAGAATTGCTTCACTTTCTATTTGAGAATAAATTAAAAAAGGTAAATCCCAAAACTGACTAAAAAGCTGGAGAATTGATTGAAAGTCTTGACTTCAGGTGTAAATTTTCTTGGGTTCCATTTATTCTGAACATTGGAATAAATAAGGGCTTTGTAGTTTGGGTTATTTTAAAATTTATGATGCAGTGAATATCACTTTATGGGGATAGTTTAGTGTAAACTTTTCTGATGTGGTGACAACTTGAAATTATGATTGTGGTTTTTTTAAGCTTTATTTTTTGAGAAACTTCTAGGTGGGAAAAAGAGCATTAATAACATAGGTAAAATCTCATATCCTAGTCTTTTCAGTTGACTGACAACATTATTCCAGACTGTTTCCAACAGTAATGTAAGAGTACTGAAAACCGACTGTATATGCTCAGTGTTCATTTCTACAGCCTACACTGAAAATACTGACACTGGCAACTATCTTTCATGTTCTAAATGAGTTTTAAAGTACATTATAAAGAACTTCTTTACCAAATGCATGTTTTATGGACTTTCAGTTTAAAATGAGAATTTTAAGAAGCTTAGTGCTTCTTAAATATTCTTTTAGAACTAAAAACACTAATATCCATGTAATATATTATATATAATTACCATCTGATTTTAGATTGGATGCACATGTTGTTTCTTTTGTCTTTCAGTATAATAAACCCAGTGAAACGCTTTTTCCTGAATCAGTAGATGGTCTTCAAGAAAACCTGGATGTGGTCGTTTCCTTAGCTGAAAGACATTATTACAACTGTGATTTCAAAATGTGCTACAAGCTTACTTCTGTGTAAGTATACAAAGCAATTTGTGTTTTCTCATATGCCTGGACTTAGAGCAAGTAGCATTGTTCAGTGCATTGCCATACATAAGTGTGATACAAAGTTTCAGGTATTTAAAATGTAGTTTGTGTCTGGCAAGACACGTTATTTTGATGATACGTAGCAGAAGTATCCAAAGCAAAACTGCAGTTAATCAGCACTGTGCGGCACTTGTCTTAACCCATCCTTACTCTGGTACCTTCGGTTTCCTGTGTTCTGTACCACTTCTTGTTTGGCCTTCAGAATGGATCGGTTGGTTAGTTTGGAAGTACAATTTCTTTGGCTAATTAGAAGTTATGTTGATTTTGATGTGCCATGTATTATGTCTCGGTTGTTACATCCCTCAGGCTCAGAACTGCTGCTCGGTTGTTCAGATGGGTCAGAACAACAGTGCGGATTGCTTGTCCGCCACTGTAAATGTGATCACATGGTTGTGCAGTGATTTTAATTGATGAGTTGTTTTTCTTTTTTTTTTTTTTTTGCTGGCCCAACAACTCCCTTTTCAAGAAAACTGTGATTTTGTGTATGTACTGCATAGTTCCAGAATAATAGTAATATAAAATAGAAGGGCTTTTAGTTTGTTGCCTTTGTTTTTTTTATAGTACAGCTTTTTCCAACCTGAAGCAGGCCATTGCTACGTAGAATATCCCATGGAACCCAGTACAGGCAACACTTTCGGGAAGACCGTAGGGAATGCTGACCATCATGGTGAAATTAAACATCTGAGTAAAATCATGATCCTATTGAAATAAATTACTCCAGTGAAATAAAAAAATTCTATTATTGCATCTTCATTTCTGAAACTTAATTGCTACACCTTGTCTAGCAGGAAGTGCCAGGAGTAAATGTCTCCTGAGGAGGAGACTGTCACAGATGCAGGAGGCTGGAAATGAGGCTGAGGAAGCCCATACAACTCCAAAGCTTTAGACTCTCTTCAAGAGAGCATTTAATGTATTTGTTTATATGTTCTTTCATACTTCTCATTTGAAATCTTTTAACTATTTCAAAGTGTACTTCTCAGTGAATGGAGTCGTAATGTTGTACCTCTGATTTAAGAGATTCTGTCAATAGATTTCAAGACGTCTTTTTCTCTGCGCTAGTTTACCAACTGCCAGTACCTCTAAAAAGGGCACGTGCCTAGAAGCTGCATCCTGCGTGCAGCCTGTTGTCTGGGAGACTATCTTCTGTTTCTAAACGCCACAGGAAATAAAAATTTAAACCCGAGCTAAATATGTTTCCGAAGGGATACACCTTAGTGTTAAGCTCAGAAAGCTGAGGGTTATTGCTTGAAAGTTGCTGTGAAACATATGGAAAAGATGAACAGAAGTGTTGAGTGACTTGCGAACAAACGCGCGTTGTATTCTGTTTGTCTAACTGCTTATTCAGCTTGCAAGAATTTGCTGTTACCCTCTTCATCTAAGCTACACTGACAGTTACTTTCCTGGTCTTAACCTTTATTATCCTGTTAATAGTGAAGTTCTACTCACAACTAGTTTTCTAGTGCCTAAAGTCGTAATTAACTGGGGCATTATACGCTATAAAAGCAGCTTGCTTATAACACATTAAAATTTTTTAAATGTGCATTGCAGATTTTTTTTTTTTTTTAGAGTAATGGAAAAAGATCCTTTCCATGCAAACTGTTTACCTGTGCACATAGGGACACTCGTGGAGCTTAATAAGGCAAATGGTAAGAAATGCAACGTTTAATGAGTCAAAAGAAGATTGTAAAGTTTCAGTTTTTTAAAATGTTAAAGATTAAGGATGCCAAGAAACCCCCTTATAGACAGTTTGAAAAATTACATATGTTTTTCCTCCTCCCTGCACTTTGAAGAAAAGAGTGGTAACTGGGAAAGAAGGGCGTTTCAGAGCTGACAGTGGCAGGGCAGGGAGTGGTTGTGCAAAGAGTCTTCATTCACGTGTGATCGTGAGTGTTGCTGTCTTTTAACCACTGGGCTACGCAGCCAGAAGGTTAGTGAGCTGCGCTGCCTCCTTTCTGCTCTTGGGTTTCTGTTCAGAGGTCATCTTCCTACAGTATCTAGGTGTGCTTTTTCTGCTCAGCAAGAAAATAAAACATAGTAATTTGAACTGGGAGGAGCTCTACAGCAGTGTGTAAGCTGAGGTGGACATGCATTTTCTGTACTGGAAAAAAACTAGACTCTCTCAACAGCTTTTGCTGTTGTGAAGGCCTCTCTTTATGGTTCAAACAAGTTGGTAATCATGCAGCACCTTTGTTGGAATTACCAGAATATCTTACTAGCAGCTGGGGTGGCTTTTTCTCATTTCAGACTGCATGTAAACATCCAAAGCAAGTGAGGAGCTTGAATGTCTTTAAAACCAATTGGAAAAATAGAATAAGAAGCTTGTATGACTTGCAGTCTCTCAAAGGATGGTGCATTGTATGTACACAAAGAGGATATTAAGTGTACTAGTACTTTGCAATGTTTAGTAAATATACTTTTCGGTTCCTTTAAAGTTAACCGCATCTGAAAATGTGGCCATTGCTCTTGATTTTTCTTCTGAGTCTGCCTTGAGAAGCATTTTGTTAAATAAGTTGGTATTTTGTAAGCCAGTTTCCATATTGTTTTTTTCTGAAGCCAGAATTGATGCAAAGGACTCCAGGACAAACTCCTCAATTTAAGACTGCTCTGTTCTGAAGAAATAGAGATTTTATGTGCTGAAATGCTATTTCTTTTGAAACTGTGTAGCCAATAGAATTGTTATGCTGTACTTGATTATTTCAATTATTATTTTAAGTAGAAAAGTAATCACTTATAATTATTCCAAGTAAATGAATCATTTATTTGCTTTTGTCCTGTTTTCAGCGTATTAATGCACAGGACTTTGCTTTGAAATTGATCTAGTCAGTATGTTATACCTTCCAGGTGTAAAAAGTTCAATAGTGTTTCACCTTGACAAGGTACATCCAAGCACAATAGTACACGATAATGCTTATTTTAATTTATATTAATGACCTAAGTTGTTGCAGAATTCTTAAGGGGTGGGGATGTACAGCTGCATATTTATGTGCTATGAAGGTTTACGGAGAGTTGTGGTAGTTAATTGGAAAACCAAATCTATTTTGAGGCAGTTTGAAGCATTAGCACTAAAGAGGAAACATTTTTGTTCACTTGTGCATTAGTAACGTTGGATGTTCTGGGTATTTTCTATAGAAAGCTATAGGGCTTGAACCATTTTCATGTTTTAGCGTGTTTTAATCTTCTTTTCTTGTTTCTTCCCCCTGCGTAGAGCTTTTCTATCTTTCTCACAAACTGGTGGACTTGTACCCAAATAATCCTGTAAGTTGTTCTAAGCCTTCATTACCAGGTAGATTTTTTTTTTCTAGGTGAAAGCACATAAAAGTTGTAATGTAATAGTCAGTTTGACCAACAGAATTCAAAATGTGTGTCTGGATGGAGCTAGCAAAAATGGTTCGCTCCTCTTATTTTCTATGCATTGTAATTTTATACCAAGGTTCTTTTTTTGAATTTATTTTACAGGTACTTTGTTTTAATGTGAGGTATTCACTTTGAAAACTAATTTAAAACAAATGCTACACTAGAAAATACATCTGCCTCTCTGGGCAGCCTTCTCCAATGTCTGATCACCTCCATAGTGAAAATTGTTTTCCTTTTTTACTGAACATGAATTTCCCATGTTGCACCCATTGCCTCCCATCCTATCACTGCACCTTTGAGAAAAATCTGGCTCTGTCTTCTGTATTCCCTACCGTTGGATAATTGAAGACAGCAGTAAGCTTTCCAATTAGCGCTCGCTCCATGAGGCCAAACCAACCCAGGTAGTGATGTACATGCCAGCAGTTTTGGCTTATCTGTAATACCAAATAATTTGAAAAGCTGACTGTCAGTGAAAGATGTTCTTAACTGGTCTAATTATAATCTGTTCCTCTGTTTTGTATCACCTATGGTGATGTTTCACTAAAATCAGTGCAATATAGCCAATAATATTCTACTTGAATTTAATGTGTAGGTGTCGTGGTTTGCAGTAGGATGCTACTATCTCATGGTTGGCCACAAAAATGAACATGCCAGAAGATACCTCAGGTAATTTTTTTTCCACTTTTCCTTACTGAATCTGTTGCTCCCGTACTGAGTAAATATTTAACATTCATGTTTTTTGCAAGTTCATAAAGTAAACAGAAGCCTTGGTAAACTGGTTACTACTGAAATATTTCCTTTTTTGACACCCTTTTTTGATGTAGCAATTCAGGCCTCAACCTCCCAGACACTTCAAGAAGGACATACAGACTTGGGTGAAATTTCTTTTGGCAGTCACCTCCCTGTTGTGGGCAGGTGTAGTCCCTGCATTCGTTCACGCTGTGAAGCTAACTACAGCCGGGTGATCAAGCCTCAGTGCTTAAGGAGCTTAAAGACACTCAGGCATTTTCCCAGGCTCAGGTTTGTTATCTTAAAGGGAAGAGTTAGCCAAATGTCAGAACTTTCTGTCAGCCTTGAGCTCATTAGGCTGGTCAGTCAGTACAGTGCCGTTTCCTGTAGGATATCTGTATGTCTGTTGAAGCAGGGACAGGTGGCCTGGGATGATTACAGGGAAGTTGTTCGAGAGGTTGGAGATCAGGTTAGGA